TTGGAGATCAGCCCTCTGTCAGATCTGGGGTTAGTGAATATCTTTCCCCATTTTGTGGGCTGCAGTTTTGTCTTGTTGACTGTGTCCTTTGCCTTACAGAAGCTTCTTAGTTTCAGGAGGTCCCATTTGTTAATTGTTGATCTTGGTTAGACAAGGACATTTGAAGGTTATTAAACCTTATGCTATCTTTTAAGTAACAAGGTTGGAACATAAAAATGCAAATGAGATAGAAGCAAATGTCATTTGTGGATTTTGTTTTTTGTCTTGTTTTGTTTTGGTTTGACTTTTTGAAACAAGTTTTGTTTCTCTGCGTAGCCTCTGTTGTCTGGAACTTGGCTCTGCAAACCATGCTGACCTTAAACTCTGAGATTAATCTGCCTCCCCAGTTCTGGGATTAATAGCATGTCCCACCACTGCCTGACTGTTTTCTTTTTTGTAAATGAGGTGAGGTACTTTAATTTAAAGGCTTGTGTCACATTTCCTGAGAGTCTGTTGTAACTACCAACCCGATTAACTAACGTATACATTAATCGGTTATTCTGTCTCCTCCCTCCTAGGTAGTACATAAGCATTGTTTTTTTTTGAGACAGAGTTTCACAAATAGCCCAGTTTGGCCTCAAAATAAATTATGTAGCAGAGGATAGTCTTGAACTTCTAATTCTCCTGCCTCTACTTTCTGAGTGCTGGGATTGTGCTGATTTTATACATTTTACCCAGAATAAAAACTTGTAGTATGGAAACTTAGGAACCAGGCCAGATCTATTACAGAGGCATCTACACCCAAGGAGCCCTTGAACATCTCATCAGTCAGGTAAGCCTGACCTCTGGAGATGCTAGGTGGAGATATGGGTGGAAAGGAATGAAGTCATAAGTTTACCTTGCCAAAGTGTTTCAAAGTAGGTTCTAAATCGACTAGGGTTATCAGAAAATTCATCTTTACTGTTGGAGAGACAGTGGCATTTAAGTGGGTAAGGTCTTTCAGAACGTTTTGTGTCATTGACTATTTCAAAGCTTACATGTCATTTTTCAAAAAGGTTTCGGGGCACGTGATTGATTATACAAGTTGAGCATATAGATTGTATTATTATATAAGATGTGTATATGTTTACTGTTTTTGAGACCATTTCTCATTCGCAAGCATGGGATGACCTATAACTCACTATATTGCACAGGTTGACCTTGAACTTTCAGCAATCCTTATGTCTCTGTCTCCCAAGAGCTGAGATAACAGGCATAACCCACCATGTCTAGGAAGACAGTGCCTTAAAATAGGATTTTGCTTATTTTCTTGCCAACATTTTCACTTTTTATTCTAATTTCATTTATTCATTCATCCCAGAGCTAAGGACAGACTTTAGATCCTTGGGTGTGGTGATATTTTGTTTATGATTTAATAAATAAAGCTTGCCTGAAGATCAGAGTACAAAGCTAGTCACATTAGTCAGCCACAGAGGCCAGGCAGAGGTGGCACACACCTTTAATCCCAACAGCCACACTAATTGGTCATAGAAGCTGGGCAGTGGTAGTGCATGCCTTTAATCCCAGCACGAGAGAGGAATATAAGTCAGGTGGAGACAGCGCCGTTTTTTCAGTCTGCAGTCATGCTGAAGATAGAATCACCCCTTTTGGTCTGAGCCTTGGTAGAGGTAAGCACTCTCTAGTGGCTTGGTTGCCTTGATTCTCTGATCTTTCAGCTTTCCCCCGCAATACCCATCTCGGTTGGGCATTATAGGTAAGAGCAATACTGCCAGGCTACCGTACAGCCCAGTGTTTTCAAATATTGATCTCAGAAGACAGTGGCATTTGGAAGACCCTTAACCGTCATGCAACAGGCAGTAATAATAACTCTATTGGCAAGTATACACAAGGTTTGCTGCACCTCTGTCACTATCATAAATGTGTTGTAGACAGGTACTCCAATTTATACAAGGAATTGCTTTCTCCATTAGAGTTGGTATTTGGGGGAGAGCTTGAGACCAAACCCAGACAGTATGTGGCTGAAATCTTTGTTCTCAGTCTATAACATCTGCAGCAGTCAGTGTTCAGGGTGAGAGGAAATCATTCACTATGGTTCCAGTTGGCAAACAAAGCCATGAGACATGGGTGAGCTTCAAGAAAGGGGGATTGAGAAAGAGTGAGGACAAACTGATTTCCATCATTTCATAAATATTGTTTATAGTTGTGCTAGCAAGAGAAGGAAAGAAGAGAGGGAAAAGAAAGAGGAGAGCAGGGGAAGGTAGAAGAGAAGACGATGAAGGGGAGGGGAGATGAGAAGAGTAGAAGAAGTGGGTGAGAAAGATTTCATTGTGATTAGGACCAAGAGAACTGCAGTTCCTTTGGCTGAGTGGTGACTTCACTGTTTATGCTTACTTTGCACACTTACACATAGTTTAATTCTTACAAGCTCACATTCAAACTAGCCCCTTCCCCCCTCTCAAAACTGGTGAACATGTTGCAAGCATCTGACATGATTGAAGTTTTTGTTCAGACTCCTTGACACAGCACTTGTTTTCAATGTCTTCACTTGTGACAGTAAAGATCAGCTTCTTCCCACTCTTGTAAGCCACTGCAGCTTGTGGAGTGGTGCACTTGGGAAGTATGGCATTTGACTCACACCCCTATTCCCTCTGACTCTGGCAAACTCTGCTAGGCTTTCAATACACAAGGAATTTGGACTTGCTCCATAGCTCCAAGGTCAATCAACTTCTTGTCCAAAGGGCAAGGAAATAAACATTTCAGGCCCCAGAGCTCCACTTTAATGACTCCTGCTGCTTGTAGATTAGAAGCAGCCATAGAAAATAAAGATGTGGCTGTGCTACATTCCAATAACACTGTAATTTCTCCTCAAGCTTTTGGGTTTAAGCATCTGTGAGAATCTGAGAGCTGCATGCTGCCATGTTTATGTCTAAAGTCAAATTCCTTGAGAGAAGTGTCAAGATATTTCCTCCTTCCCCTGCAAATGGCTGGAAATCAGAGTTCTTGGTGGTAGTCTGGGGAGTCAGCACATCCTTGATTTTTGTTAGTATTCTCTAAAAGCGCCCAGTCTTTGTTTAGTTCAATCCCCAGTGAGGAAAGAAAGAAGAAAATCCTGGCTCACTGCTACACTATACTCTCCCTTCCCAACATATTAGTGTCAGGAGCCATGTCATTAGGACAGTGCCAGAAAGCAACAGGTTGTATGCACATTGGCAGCTGGGAGTATCCAGTAGTTCTCTTGTTCCAATCCTGCGGTGCCATGCTTTTGCCTTATTTTTGCCCCTATAAAAGGAAATCATTCTCCCCTTCAACTCCACCCCGATCCTATTTTGCTATAACTCTGAAAGTGTGACAGTTTGAATGTGAAATGTCCCCCAGACTCAGATGCTAGGCCACTTGGTCCCTGGGTCCTGGTGTTGTTTTCAGATACTGTGAGATATTTGAGAGGAGCGGCCCAACTGAGGAGGAAATGAGTAGCTGTTAGGGTGGACCTTGAGGTTTATAGCCTGGCCCCTGCTGTGTCCCATCTCCTTTCCTAGTTGTGGAGCAAGTTCCCTCCCAGTTCTGCCACCATGAAGGACTGTACCCTCAAACCAGGAATGAAAAGAATGTCTGCCCTCCTTCGCATTGCACCTTTAAGGTCACATTCATGGGAAATGTAACTAACACACAGGAGCATCTCAAGCCTCAGGAAGTAGGTCACTCAGTCATTTCTTCATTTCAGCTCTCCTCCAGGCTCAAATAGCCCATTTTCTCAGGAAACCATTTCCTTGGTGCCTTGAAGCTACATATAATGCAGAGACCTGCCTGTTTACTACTTCAGTGAGTATCCCCTGCTCTTCAGTGGTACCCATATCCCACAAGTGAAAAATGGAGCTAACCTTTGTTCACTAAGTGCTGTGTTTCACGTCTTTGAACTCTTGGTCCCAAGTTGGTAGCATTATTTTGGGTAGGTATGGGTGGTGTGACCTTGCTGGAGGAAGTATGTCATAGGAGGAAAGCTTTAAGATGAAAAGCATCTCACCATTTCTAGTTTGCTCTCTCCGCTTCTTGCTTGCATTGAAGATGTGCTCTCGGCTTCCTGTTTTGGCTCTTGTGCCTCTCGTGTGCTATCATGCCTGTCCGCCATGATGGTCTCTTATCCTCAGAACTGTCAGAGTCAACGCTTCCTTCTTAAAGCTTTGGTTTTATTCTTTTAATCATAGCAATAAAAAAATAACCAATGTACTAAGTAGTTTATATTTTAGGTCTTCAGATCCTCCATTCCCAGGAAGCATGGGGTCTTCGTATACTGGAGACCTTTAGTTGACCATTTTCTGTGGTGCTAGGGCTGGAATTCAGGGACTTATGCATGTTAAGCATTTTGCAACTGAGTTATGTCCCAGGTCTGGTCTCTGAGTTACTGCTCAACAGTTGGTATGAAAAACCTCCCAAGAACAGATTATAAGCAGAGGATACTAACAGCCACCCAAACCTGCAGGTTTCTTCCCTCTAATCCCTTGGAATGAATATGTAAATTCTCTTTGAGAAAGAGCTAGCATAAATCATCCCTACTTATAGTTCCAACCCCAAGGATTTGGGGGAAATGTGCATGCTGAATATAAGTAGAGCAAACTGTGGTCAAAGCCAAAATGTTAATACATACCTTTAATCTTTTTCTTGTGGACAAAAGGAGGAGGTAGGCGATTAAGAGTATTTCTCCTTTTTGCATCCTACCACATATGAAAGAACCTACTATAATAACCTTTAAATTAAAACATGGGTATATTTCATTTGCATGGCAAACCTTGTATTTCATGGACAATTTTGTTCTACTCAAATCATGGCCTCCAAGGAGGAAGCATCCTGAATTAAGGGCATTTCAGCATGAAGGGTTAGAATGAACCATCTCATTTTCAAACTTTGCTGTCAAGTGTAAAGAAAAACACTGTCTTAGAAGAGATTCCAGTTCTGGTTTGTTTATGATGTCACAGTGTTTAGTGTCTAGTGCCTGTGAACCTCGAAATCACGAAATTGCTCAAAGCTTGCAATTGAAACTTTATTTCACATCTATTCTTAAATTACACAAAATCAGTGAACGGTTTGTAAAGTTACACCACTGAACAGATGTTAACAGTTTGAAATCGTGGGATTTACATGATGATGACAAAAATGTATATTTATACCATTCTCTATATACAGTAATCAGTAGAGACAGAGAAAATGTACTTAATCTCTGCAAACCATGCACACCACAGCAATAACACACTTTTTTTTCTGTAATGAGCTTTTCCACTGGCTCAGACTTTGTCCTGCTTTCCAACACTGTCAGTTTTAAGAGCAAACATTTTCAATTAAAGCTAAAGAAACTGAAATATCATAGTGATCTACAGAATATTTTAAGAACACAATGTACACCAAATAGGTTTATTCTAAAACACTTTGACTTAAAGATGTGCTTTCAGAAAGTCCTTCCAGTTTTTAAAGGTATCATAATTCTCAACACTGCAATACCACAAAACAAAAGCTGTCAATATTATTTTAGAGCGCAGAGTCAAAAAATCACTTTAAACCCAGATACTCAACTTCTTGTCTAACTTGTGGCCATATCATTACATATGACAACAGGTCGTGCACTTGGGCAGACTGTGCTAGATAGGACTTTATGGTCATACTTCTAAGCATGTTCCTCTTTAAAACAAATGCCACTTCTAGTCACCTTGTTTGATAGAAAGCCAAGGGATTAATGTAAATTCTTATAGAAGTGTAGCAACAACCATGAAGTGGAAACTGTCAAGCAGTGTGATGCTTAACCACACAGTGGGTACATAATTGCTCCTTTGTTCAATTTGCAATTGATGCCGTCAATGTGTAATTACAGACTTACACTGCCAAACCATTCTCAACTTGCAAGTCCCCGAAACCTAGGCTCACTGAGGAGCATTCTTCCCTTTTGATCTTTCATGAAATCTGGTAAAAGTGTTAACCCCAAGTATCAAGCGGCAGCTTTTGGTGTTACTGAGTAACTCTGACTATCTTAATGCTTAGTACCATTGTCTTTGAGCAAAAACTTTGTTCTTGTTATTGTGTACACATCTTTTCACACACACATACACACACACACACACACACACACACACACGAAAAGAATCATGGGCCAGAAATGGCCAGCCAAACTGCAAATATCACAATAAATGACATAATAAACAGTTCACATTCAGGTTCAATTCAGTCTGGTCAAGAATAATAAGTTCAGCAATATTTAGAGACACATTATCCTGTTTGAGAGTTTCTTGTTAAGGACCTTACTACACAGACATTGATAAGACAATTCTATAGAAAGTCCTGACTTTAATCCAGGATTAAATACCACAAGAGATTCAGCAACACACCATTTCGATGATGAAGAAAAATTCTATACATGGATTCATTTGGAATGAGCACAACTCGGAGAAGCCTTAAAGTGGATGAGAAGCAGCGCCAAAAAGATTGAAATTGCTGAAATTACAGTGCCCTGAAACCATCTGGAAACTGGATCTTTCCATTGCTATTCCATTTGGAAAAAAATGCTTTGTTAATATGAGATATACCCTGTTTAAAACCTTTTAATCAGCAGAAGGTAGAAAAATTTTAAATTTTAAACATCTGTTAAATTACAAGACATGAATCCCAATCTATTTGAAAAGCCATATTTTTACATAAACCCACCTACATTTAAGTGAGAAATTGTTTCCTTTCTACAGTTTGGCAAAATTTATCATCCGTTGTTTTTGTGTTTAAATAGACTCCTTGTTAAAACAAGAAGGGAATGAAAGGTTTGAGTGTCTTTTAGTCTGCTCATGTTTTAGTCATGCTTCCCTCTGGCAGGCGGAGTGGGGGGTGCTCACAAGATTGGGTTTTAACAGAGTCTCCAGAATCATTTAAAATCTCTTAGCCCTAAGTTTAAATAGCCACATTTCGTGTTGTCTTTGCGTCTCCATAGCTAATTTAAGAACTTCCTAAAATATCTAAACTGCAATTTCTGGTGAGTCTGGTTTGGCTCTTGGATTGCAGAAATAGTTCATCCCAAAAAGACAATTTAATTACACACTGAGATTTGTTTTAGCCACACACAGTGTAACACTGAATCAAAAGGCAACTGTAAATGCAACATCTACACTTTTTTTTTTTGAACTTCCAAAATGAAGGAAGCAGGATGTGTTTGGACATTTTCATCTTGTAAGATACATGCCATCTTTTTGGTGGTGCTTTGGGAAGCAGTGTGCACAAACCTTTCAGAGCCGTTAGCGCCATGTCTCTACGCTGCCTATGTAGTCCTTGGTGCCATTGCTGGTGCTATCACTCTGCTCCTGGCCTGAGCCCTGCTTCTGCTTTCCCCGGTTCGCCTTCTGGATCAAATTGGGTTTGGCACTCTGAGTCAGGTTCTGACTCACATTCTGAGTCAGGTTCTGATTTGGGTTGGGATTTGGACTCTGACTCAGATTCTGCCCTGGACTCTGGTTCTGGCCCTGACTCTGACTCAGGAAATGGGTCTGAAGGAACCTTCCCTTCAGAAACTTGCGTTGCTCCTGACGCTTCCGCCTGGCATCCTGATGCTCTTTCTGCCTCATGAACTGATACCTTTGCAGAAAGAGGTCTTTAGCATAGCTGTACAACTCCATATCCAGAAAATTCAGTCCCTCAATACGCTTTTGGATTTCCTCATTGATCTCTACACTAGAGGCCCTAGTAGTGTTGTATTGGGTAAACGGCGAAATAAAGTTCATGTTGAAGGTTTTCTCAAACAGGTACTGGGTCTTGCGCTGAAACTCGGTGAGGCCAAAGAATGCCATGTGCTTCAGGTTGGACTTGGCACTTTCCAGAAGGACCTTGTTTCTTTGCTTTTCTGGCATGACAGAGAGGTTATAGCAGCCCACTAGAGTCAGGTCGGACAGCATGCGCACTTGGCGGTTGTTGGCCAGATTATAGGGGCAGTCCATGAACTCTTTGAGAGGGCAGCCAGACCAGTCGTCACCCGTGTAGCAGCTGGGCAGTTCTTCAGAGGTTGGGGGCCTTCCATCACAGACGTGCAGAGATGCTTTCCACGTCGCCCCTCTCTGGACATGCCTCCATTCGCTCAAGTACCGGGACACCGGGTCTCGGAGGATGGTGATATAGTGGAAGTTCCTATGGACAAAGCAAAAGACCAACAGTCACAAGTGCAGCTGACACAAGTGCAGTCAGGAAGGTGTGTGGCGGATGTGTTGCTCATGGTCACTAAGCAATGCAACAGAGGAATGAGAGATCTAGTGGCATTTGTTCTGTGAACTATGTTGTGGTCCCCGCTTTATATCCAGCTAGCCTGACCAGAGAGCTAATAAATTTATTCAATTTCCTGACACTGTATCCACAACAGGCATAAAAAAGTTAGACTCTGGATAACAACCTTGTTGTCTTTTGCCCTCCCTCCTTTGTTCTCTTCCCAATGATGCTGTTGTTCTAGTGTGCAACCAATTTATTTTATACTCCAAACTCCTAAACCCTTATTAAAGCAATCACAAAATGGAAACTCAATTGAAGCGAATGAGTTATGGAAGTGAAACGGAGTTGATAAGGAAGCTAGAATTATAATGATTCTTATGAATGATGCACAAGCATTTTTCCCAATAACTTGATCTAATCTGGAAATATTATGAAAAAAGAAAATCACATCAAAACTCTTTGACATGATACTCTCTGTTTCGGCTATTGCCAGAGTAGTACAGTTCATACTTAGAGAAATGGAATATACAGACAGGCAGAACATCCCAGTGGCTCCAGAAATAAACACAGTCGTTAGTCACAGGCTAAAGTAGGCATGTATCTGCCAATGGCATACAAGCAAGCATCTACTTTGCTTTCACAGTACCATTCTCAGGATAGGAAAATTAACTCTGTCAGTTCCAAAAATGTCCTTTTTCTTTATTCACTGAACAGACGAACAAATATAACCACCATGGAAGGTTTGCTGGATGGCCATCTAAAGTTCTCTGCACAAACAGCAGACTAGTAGACTCTAAAATTACTGGCTGACACACTCAACCACATACATTACATATACATTTGTGGCCAACAGCCCAGATACACTGAGGTCTAGGTGGGTAGGCATAATCAAAGAGAGAAATCCCCCCACAATTGTGCTTTTTGTGAGACATTGTCATTCACATACAGTAGACGGGGGATGAGGTTGTTGGAAAGCTATAGTTGTGGTAGGAAATCAGCAGCAAATACTGAGTATTCCGATTTCTTAAAGGAAACTGGGGTGATGGCTTGCAACTTTTCTGATTTTGTCGTTTCCATCTGGAGGAATTGTGGATGTTCTCTAAGAGGAAACCTGAGAGGACATTCTCAACTACCTGCCCTATTAAGTGTTCAACAAGGAAAGGTTTCCCCCAACTCAGACTTAGGGCCTCCTGTCACGTGGCATATGTGGTTCTTCATCTTCCTGGCACAATCTTTCTTCTTTGTCTAGAAGATTATATTCACCTTCAAGTCCAGTTCAAGTACCATCTGTCCTTAGAAAACCAAGCCTACTGCCTACTGTTGGCATTCCTTCTTGCCCTGTGTTACCATAGCACTTCCATACTTAGTCTAAAACACTTTTCATTCTAAATTATACTTACTCATTTGTATTCCTTCTCAACTGTTCTCTAGAACACAGACTGTCCTGTTTCTGTAACTCTTGTCCCACCCATTCCAGCTTTGTTAGTGTTTGTGCCTGTCCAAAGCATAATCTTAGCAGTCCTTCAACTGCTCATTGAAGGAACCAATCCAAGTGAGAGGAAGGACAGGGCTAGGGACATGCCTCATCAGAGAAAAACTCTTGATCATATCACAGGAGGGTGTTCCTTTTTAAAACCACCTTATAAATTTTCATGGGATTAAACAATCATCGTGCACAGAACCTGGGAGTCAGAATGAAGAGTGGGCTGAGCATCTTCATTCATCTCTCTGAACCTTTTCTAGGACAAAACTGGGCTGATACCACTAAAATGTATCTCTGAAAAGACCCATTACGGAAGAGTATCAGTTTCTGTTTCTCAGCATCCTTTAGGAATTCAGATAACCACTATATCCATGGACTCTCTCCTCCCACTGCTAGATTTGCCTTTCAACCATTTCTTTGTTCATTCACAACATATTTTTGGAGCCTTTATGCAAACCACAAGGCAAGATTTTAGTGACAATTAGCCTGATTATTAGAAATAAAGAAATTTATTTAATCCAGTATGGTGGGAGCAGTCTCAATTTCCATACTGTAGTACTGTAGTATTATCACACACACACACACACACTCACAAAGAGAGAGAGAGAGAGAGAGAGAGAGAGAGAGAGAGAGAGAAAGAAAGAAAGAAAGAGAGAGAGAGAGAGAAAGAGAGCCCACACATGACTACATGGATTCAGGTAGCAAAAAACTGGAGATTATGTTAATAGCTCCATCGCTCCAGGGAAAATAGTCTCAGGGACCTAGATGGGCTCCATTGGGAGCATCTGATAGTGCTGGAAATACGACTCAATGGTGAAAAGGAAGATGTGCTGATGGTCTGGTCTTCAGTGTTCTTTGACCTCTGGAGTTACCTTGTATGCTGGAGGTGGGAAAACATATAAACATAATATACTTGGGTCTTGGAAGAGGACTCACTTGGGAAAGTACTTGCATTGCAAACACGAGGACCTGAATTCAGGTACTCAGAATCCATGTAAAAGGTCTGGTGTATAGTGTGTGTCTGTAATTGTGGAGGTGGAAACATGGAATTCACTGGTCAGCCAGATTAGCTCAGTCAATGAACTCTGGGTTTAGTGAGAGACCTTGCCTCAAAAGTGAGGTGGATAATCAAGAATGAGCAGGCATTCTATTAACCCAGGAACCTGATGAGCAGTTTTGAACCCTAGTCTACTCATCCTGGATGGATGTAGGTTGCTTGTGACTTTGCTCCATTTCTTCCTTTTTAAGGAAGCCTAAGCCTGTCAAAAATGCATCTGGATTCTGATTATATCCCCCGTACCTTCAGCTCACCTTCTTGTTGGTCATGCATGTATTCAGGCAATGATTAAAATAGAACAAGATGTTGCAGATCTGTGGCATTTGCTAGAAACCTCCCTTCAGATTTACATAAACCCAACTGGTACTGTTGAACAGATTGGTTTAATTTTCGAAGAGCAAGACAAACTCATCCCCAGGAAAATCATACACAGTTGGTTTCACTCAGCAATAATTGGACAGTATTGTCTTGTGACCAAATGTGTCACTTAATTAAAATGAACAGGTTTCACATTGTGAAATTGGAATTATGAGTCCCCATCAGTTTCCTGTGTTAATGGAATGCCTGATCATTCAGAGCCCCTGTGTGCCCATGGTGCCTGCAGTGGCACACGGCACCCCAAGGCTAGCCACCTTCTATTGCAGGACAGCTGCTCTCCAGGTGGCCTTGGAGTAACTCAACCTTTTCTTGTTTCTTGCTTTTGAGATTGCTGCAGAATATGCTTGGAATGCAATATGCTGAGATAAGAAAGAATAGCCTGAAAAAGCCCCAGCCCCAGCCTTGTTCCTGTCCTTCTTAAGGAACACATCTGAAGCTAGGGAGGAACTGCCCAGACTTTGTTCCTTTGCCCTGGAAGCACAATGTACTTCGAACATTTGTAAGTGACACACATTGTTTTTAAGATAAAAAAATTGGGGGTCTTTTATTGTGGTCCAAGTGTAATATGAATACTTAATTTTTTTGAGACAGAGTCTCACTAGATGTTCAAGCTAGTTTGGAGCTTGCTATATAGTCCAGACTGGCCTGAAACTCATGATCGTCCTTAGTCTCCTCAGTAGCTGGATTACAAGCGTGTGAACTCCATGCACCCTGAGTAGCTTTCTTAGGCCTTGAAAGACTAGAACTCCATGCACCCCGAGTAGCTTTCTTAGGCCTTGAAAGACTAGCTCACAATGAATCCTGGCTGCTTTTGTTCTTTGCTGCCAGTCTGCAATGAACAAATTCACTTCACTTAACTTGTGTATATGTTCTGCCTTGCCTGCCTTCCATGTACAGCGTCCTGTCTTGGTAGGAAATCATGGAGATGTTAAGATCCAAAGAAAAAGCTGTGTAAGCAAGAAACCCAGGGGTAATCTCTTGACTTTTCTGTCTTAGGAATTTTTTATATCTAAACAATTCCCCATCCTGCTGATCCTGAATCTTAGTAGGTCTCTCCAATCCAAGCTTTGTGTCGCCAGCCAGGTGGCAGGCCTTTGTCACTTCTCTACTAGATCACTGCTATACAGTGTCTCAGACCACTTCTGTGTATCCAGTCCCATGCTACTTCCACAGTCCTACAAGAAATCCATCTGACCTGTCATTCCCCAGCAAACCCTCTCGATAATGCTTTCTCAAAGATGTTATTAGAAATCCAGGTCTTCTGCATTAGACATAGCAGGAGCCCAGCTTTGTTTTTGTCCAGCCTAATCTTTAATGAGCATACCCTTTCCTGTGCTGACTTGGGGATATTGACAATTGACAAAATTGATGTTTTGATTGGTACAACCGGAAGGAGCAGTTAGTATTGGTTTTCAATGGTTTGAATCCAGAATATCACTAAACATTCTACAAGGCCAAGCACCCCATAACAAAGAATCATTCATCCAGCAAATGGCAACAGTTGAGAAATGTTGTTCTGTCTGTTATGCTTCAAGGATATAAAAATACTTTCTATTGTTCAAGTTTATCCCAGTCAATAATTCTATAAGACCCTTGCCTTTGTATAGAGTGACCCACTCTTTCAAATGGCATCTACTTGTCCTTCATAAATCACCCAGAAAACAACACTCTCCTCAAAGGTTTTCTCCTCCATGCAAACTTTCTGGACAAAATAAGCTTCCAGCTTTTACGCTGGTTGCCCTGGGACGTTCCTATTGAGACAATCACTACAATATGCTGTGATTGTCTAGTGATTTTTCTGCATCTCCCTTTGAACTATGAGCACTAACAGAGGAGAGAATATGTATTGTTTATCAATATAAGCTCCTCTGGGCCTAGCACAATGTGATTAATGAAAGGGTATTGAATAAAGCAGCCAAAGCAGCTAACAAGTAAAATGTGCATCTTATTCTTTGATAATGAAAAGCCACTAGATGTCAGTATTTAGTAAGAGATACACCATTTTGTACTGGTGATGGAGCATTTGAAGGCGATCTGGTTCTATTCAGCTGCTGTACCTGACATCTCACGCAATAGGCCACTTTAAAAGGAGGCTAGGAAGATCAAGGGCATTAAAAAGTAAGTATGGAAAAGAGCAAGAAGCATGCTTTCTCCTTGTTTTACTATTGACTTATTCAGCAATAAGTACCTGAGCTGCAAGTCACAGAAGCTCAGATTTGTCACAGCAAGAAGAAATGGCTGCAGCAGCGAACCTTCTGATTCAAGGTTTAGAAGCAGGCTCTGAGAGATGAAAGACCTTACCCAGACTTCACAGTTGCTGAGGGCTTCTGAGAAGCAGTCTAACCAGAAAAACACAGGACAGCACAGTCAGCCAACCTTTAAAGAACTCACTAATCCCAGTCACATAGAAAGGTCTGGCTGTTGAGAACAGGCACTTCCTCACCTCAAGCCCATAGCTAGGAGGGATTTGTGCCTGTCACTTATGCATTAAGTAGTGGAAACGCTGAGAGGGACAGCATGGCCCAAGGTCATGTCTCAAACTAAAACAAGGGCATTCATACTTGTATCTTCGGATTCTGGAAAAGTTTTGTTTGTTTTCTCATTCCAGTTCTGGGGCAAAACCCCGGGTCTTCAGCTTTGAGAAGAAGTGGTTCCAGATGTGAGGACCTAGCACCAGCACCTTCATCTTCTAGAGGCTTCTTTAGCCATCCACTATCCCAAGACTTGGGTTTTAGGGCTCCGGAACCTGTGCTTCAGTGAGCTTTCTTTGGATTCTGCTACAACCTAAAACATTGGAGCTGTAGAAGCTCTGGCCAAAGATGTGGTGTCAGCGATCAGAAGTTTTTCCAACCAAGTAAAGTCCTAATGGAAAGAAAGCCCAAGATTCTGCTGGTGCTAATGAGACCACCTCTGGGGACGCTCATTTCTGTCAGGGACCATCCAGGGACCCATTTCCTGGATGAAGTTCTGAGGGAGGATCAAGGTGTAAATGTTGACTTTCCTTGACGTCACTGGTTTAGAAAAGGCCATCCTAAGAGTTTTCTACACCATTCATAGAGGAAATAAATATCAAAGCCATTTTTTTAAAGTGGAGGAAGGCCAGAAAACTCATACCACTTAAGGTCATAGGAGCTATCAATAAAAAGTTAATTTAAGAAAGGAAACAGTTTCTTAACCCAAATCAATAGGATCAAACTTTCATTATATTTATATTATACCTATAGTTTACTTCTGAATTTTTTTCAGAAGTCTTTGCACACCTTACCTTGGCTTTGGAATAATGAAGAGTGATAGAAAAGCAAGAATTGTGATTGGCCCTCAGTGAATTTAGCAGACAGTAGGGGATATACATGGAATTGAATCATTAATGCTAAGTGATTTCCACCCTTAGCTAAAAAGGTCTGAAGTAAATGCTGTGATCCTCTCACTCAGGCAAATAACACAGTCCAAGCAAGGAGGATTACACATGTGAGCCTCGACTAAATAAAAGTACAGTAAATTGAATTAAAAGAAAACAGGCCTCTGATGGGACCAGAACCCTTCAGCCCTGCAGTTGCTGTTTGAATTGATTTTCTTGTGTGGTTCATATATTGGCAGTCCCCAAAGAGAAATTCCATAAAGGCTGTGATCAGCAGTGGCAACAGCTTCATTAAAGAAGACAAGGGCTTCACAAGGGGACTATTTTGAAGCGGGTGGATGCTCATTCAGATGTTCTGGTTTTGGTACATTTGTCACAATGGTCTTGTGGCTTAGTAGTCAAGCTTTATCTAGTAAAAATAGTGAGCCATCACATTTGTAGACAGTGACTACACAGAGCATTAATACCTATAAAGTCATTTCATTGTTTTCCCAACACTGGAAGTCCCAAACAATGTGGATCCTGAACCTCTCTACTTTTCCACTTTCAAGTGATTACTCTGGGCTATCATTTGGCTTGGTTCAGCCAGGGAGCCAAGTGGTACAGGACCAATTCTTAGGGGCGCACAGAGCTATAGGATGACCAAAACTCACTATGGTCCCTCAAGGGTTGGACTTCTTTCGTTAGCAGGGGTTATCAATTCCAAGCAGAGCATCTATTGAACAGAAAACCAACCTGAAACAGGCTGAAGGTCTCATTCCCATCAAACAAGATACAATGATTTTGTCAAAGATAGAACTCATAGCTGGGCAGTAGTGGCACAAATCTTTAATCCCAGTACTTGGGAGGCAGACGCAAGTGGATCTCTGTGAGTTCAAGGCCAGCCTTGAGTGAGTTCCAGGTTAGCAAGGACTACACATAGGAACCCTGTCTCAAAAACCAAAAAAGATAAAACTCGTATATTGTGGTGGACCAAGATGATTAAAATGCAGTCTAGCATGCCCTAAATTATACTATCTAGGTTGGTGTAGCATACTCTATGACAATTAGAGAACAACAAATATTTTTAATGACATCTCTCTCAAGACATGCCCCAGTCTTTAAGTACCAAGTGACTGTATTCAGCTCTTCCTTGAGAGCTTTTAGCTGTTCTTCACACCTCAACAAAGAGACTAGTTCTCTGGGTAGAATTTATCTCCCCACTCTGGTTAACTAGCGGTGAGCCTATCTATGTGTGACATGGGGACCTCCTCTGAGTACAAATGGCCTTCACTAAAACAAAATCCTGGTTTTGGTGATATCTTTCATGGGGCAGACAAATGATTCAGTGTTTTCCCTCTATAGAAAAGATTTCTAAAATATCTGAATTCAAATTTAAGTCATGGGGTATTAACTTTTAAAAAAAAGTCATTCCCCTCTTTCCCAACGTCCCATAGGTCTCAAAGTACATAAATATAAAGGGTTTTGCAAACAGTTGGAAAACCGAGTTTTTTTTAACAAGATGTGAAATTCCAAGCTTTATGACCCGTGGTCTTTACCCAGAATCCACTCCGTTGCTTGGCATCATGAAAAGCTTTGCAGCTTACACCACTTCCCCACCACCTTTATTTTTGTATTCTAAAATTATGTTGTGAGTTTCGGTCCATTAATACCCCAAGTGTTTTTGAGGAGGAGGGAAATTTTAGAGAAAACCCTCTTTAGTGTGTGTATGAGGTAGACGGGGGGGGTTGTTGCAAGGAGGCGTGAAGGGATATAATTTCTCTAGGTCACATGCACACTAGTTTGCCATTGATTAACAAACTCTGGTTACTTAATTTCCCTTCCAGGGCCTCCTTCCTGCCCACACCATATTTCTTGGGGTTCTGAGTCTTTCTACTTTTTCTATGTGACATTCTATACAAACCTGCTGCACCTTGACGGTGGGCATCTGAGGCCAGCAATAGGGGTTGAATCTCTTCCTTCCTCCAACCCCAACATAAGTAGGTGGGGGTAAGGAGTGGAAATGTCACACCCCACGGCATCAGAAGCAGGCAAGGAAGCTTTTAAAGAACCTCTCTGTGATTACTCTAGGATATGTCTCACTCTTCAGATGGTACTTGCTATAACCTCCTGAGCTGGAAATCCAATGGCTCTGCCCTGCCTTTTGATTGGCCAGCACAACCACTATAAAACACAACATGCTTCAGGTTTCAACCGGAAAGTAATAAACTAAGACCTAAGTGGCATCTAATTCAGTCACCTACAGATCCAAGGATGGAATAGGATGTCCTTTGACTTGTGAAGCTATGGGACATAAAAGATAACACTCAAAAAGTGTTAGTTACTACTATTGCTGTTGGTGGTGTACGGATAATGTTATTCAACAAAGAGGTTTAAGTCAATGATCCTTCAAAATCACACAGTGAGATACTATTATCTAGAAGTTCTGTATAAGCCCTGAGCCCCTTGTACACAGCCTCAGATTCCCTAGGCCAGGAACAAAAGCAACCTGGTGGGGGGAAACAATACCTGAAACATGAAGCAGTTGGCTTTGACAGGGTACTAAATGACTGGGGCTAACCCTGCAGTTTTGTGGTCTACCTATAAAGCCTTAGGAATGGATCCAAGCCTTTCAGAGACTTGGGGCCTTGGGGTTGAAGTATAGCTGATAAGTATTCTAGCTCAAGCTTTCCATTCCACAGCTGCAGAAACTGATAAGTCTATTCTCTTACTGTCTCCAGATTGTGAGAAATACAGAGGCATGGTGGACTCCTTTATGGACTGGCACAATGACACAGAAGTCACAGTCCTTTCACATGGTAAGTGATTAATAAATACTATTTATGGAGATTTTAAGCTGGTTGCTCCCATTCATTCACCCAGGGTCCACTGTACACACACTGTCAGCCAGGCAGGCACCTCCTCAAGTGTTCTTTTACAGAAATCATTAGAGGAGAAACCTAGTCAGAAAAATGCCTGTCCTCAGCATTGTGCTATTTTCCAGAACAGCACAGGGGGAAAGTTTCTCCTAAATGAAGGCTGTCCTTATTGTGCCCTGGGTTGATTTTAATGAGCTCCAATATTGTTTTAAGGTGCTGAGAAAAATGAAGTGCAAACTTTGGCTTTGGTGGGGGAGTCGTGGACCTTCTTAACTATTTCAACTGGAAAGAATTGGAACCATTCAGACTCTCATAGGATGGAGAGGTCATGAATTTCGTAGGCTTATCTCCCTGGAGATAGTTTTCTTGAGTTATTCCAGCTGCCAAAAGGAATACATTCTGAAGAACATGGCAGCACCACAAGTGTGTGGAAATCAGCATTTGTATAGTAGCAGGTACTTCCTTGTGCCTTCATAGTGATAATACCAAAAAATAAAAAATAAAAACTCATTAATCTACCTAAGAATCCAACAGCAAGTTGTAATCTTTAAATTTAGTGCTGGAAGCCTGGAATAGGGCTATATGTTCTGTATATCAGAGATCTATCTTTCGTGTAGATAAAGGAGCTTGGACAGCCCTATTTCCCTTTTAAGGTAAAAAAAAAGGATCCTCTTCCATAACCAGCAGTGCAGTATTGGGAAACCAAGGGATGAGTGCCCTCACCATCTCCCCCCATACACACACACACAACATGTTCCTGTAGGTAGCGATTCAAAATCACACTGGAATGTCTGGAATCCTAGAGAAGAACATTTTTCTTCAGGTCCAAAACGTTTCAGAATGAGTAGATTTATAGTGCATGAAATCCAATGCCGATGTATACTGTAAAATGTATGTCATGGTTTTATTTTGTTTTGTGAATATATAAACATGCCACAGTTTTTTGACAGAGTTGAAAGTAAAAGGGCATGCTATAAACACCATCTTGTGCAAAATTGAGTCTTACTTTGTGGAAAAGAAGTGGGGCTGTGCTATTTGTCATGCTGGGAGCAGTTCTCAGAGGGGATTGGACGGAATGTTCCAGATGCTAGTCTAAGTGCACTTAGCTATGGTTGCTTTGTGGGTAGAGAAAGCTATGTATTGTATATGGAACTGACCACCTGATTAAAGGCATAGGCCATCACAGGTGTACATGACAAATCTGTATTTTTCTCAGAGCCTTGACAGGCCTCTTAAAGGTCACCTGGTCCAAGCATTTGAGCAATGAAACACCAATTCTTAGAGATGAAGGGTAAGGACTATGCCAAGGTTACACATTTTGTTTGTGGCAGACCCACAATCCAAAGGCAAGTCTCCAAATCCTTGCTCATCATTTAAACATTTTAGAAATTAAAATTAATAGCAATTTGGATATAATAATCAGGCAAAAGGCACCTCTGATGGGTGCAAGTTCACTTCTTTTTACTGCATGATTTTAAAGCTGTACCATTCATGATCTCAGTACTTACTTGGAAAGAGATGTCTGATCCTGTGTTCTGAACTTTAGGCAAATAATAGAAGGGAACATTGTCCTTGGCTTTTTCATTCAATACTGACACTGAACATGTGCCAATGGGAAGCTGCATTCATCCATTCATATATGTTCCACTCAGAGGGCAGGGCTTCCCTTCCTCTCTTGGTCTTTCTTACTAGATGTGAGGTTCATTCTCAGAGATGATGACTAAAGTTGGAGGGAAGGCCACATATTCTAGCTGATATCCTCCTGACTGTATTGGTGGTTCACAAAGGTTGACTGAAAAAACTCTACTGATACTCATCCCTAAGAGGAGAGAGGGAGGAAGAAAGAGGGAGAAAGGGAGTGGTGGAGGGATAGAGGGGGAACAGTAAGGCCCAGTAGTCTGGTTAATAAAAATTGGGTATTTCTTTGATCATTCTCATTATTCATAAATACAAGAGGAGTATTAACAGAAGATGAGGTAACTAAGTTTCCAAATAAATAGCCAATTTGCTCAAGGAGATACAACTAGTCACCACTGGGTCCAGAAGTAGAAGGCAGCTCTTCTAAAACTACCACTGCAGTGTTTTTCACTGTCCTTTTCCATAGTAAACACTAATTTTGGAATAATTCCTTTCTCACATTTTGTCTTACCAGCCACAGACCTGTTCTTTAAGATCCTCAAGAGCCAAACGATTTGGCACCTCTCCCATCTCAAAGAAAAGGATCAGATATGTTAAAAGATGTCACACTTGATGGACAGTTGACGAACTATCCACCATGAAACTTTTGATTGCCCAGTATATTCCTGTTACCATCTCCAATCTGCTCTACATCAGTTCCTTGTTCCACCCATCAGAACTAATGGACTCTTCTGGTCCCAATGCTGGCCTTCCCCAGCAGCAGAAAATGTGACAATCATCTTCCTACCTGAAAGGGTGGCAAAGTTTGTTTCTTTCCTGGTTCTTCCCACTGAAGACTGAAATACTCTACTCTTAGCTGCTGGTTATTCGTGTCCTGTGCTGTCAGAACTGTGCACACAGTTGACATCTCCATCCCTTGTCTCGTAGCTTCCCATTAGTGAGCCTTCCTGCCTGGTCTCCTTTCTGCCTCTCTGCCCCCAACCCCTGGTTTTCTTTGGCTTAAATTTCTGAAAACCTCAGGTCTGGGAGGAAAGGCGTTAACGATACATTTGACCAGGTTATCACCTATTTAGCAGCACAAGAAAATTTTTGTGAGAAGGTCTCATCCCTATGGGGCAATGCCCTGCCCCCTTGACTTAGTGAGGAAAGTTCAGGCAGCATTAGGGAGAGGAGCATGACAGAGGCCTTCATGGAGCCACAGCCTGCAGGTAGCTGGCTACTGTACACAGGAAAAAGGCTGTTTCCATAATCATCACCAAGAGGATTTTTTTCTCTCTGCTCTAAGAAAGCAAAGGAATTTGAAATGAGGCCATTTGGTGACAGTTTGATCAAACTCACCCCCCCACCCTTTCAGAATCATGAATCAGTCATGAACACGGTAAGTTAAAGCAAGAGTTGATTTCCCTAGGGCTATTTTTGAAGTTCTGTTGTTCCCCTTTCCCACCTCCTTCCATTTAACATTCATGAGTCAAGGTGTGGGGAGAACACACCGACCTTCACCTGGAAAGAATGTACTGACAGTTGATATATGGGCAGGTAAGCTTTGGAAAGGCTGCTGTTGCTGCAGTTCAGCATACCAAGCCCCGTTTGGGTGATGGGGCTTACCGCTGAGGTGTTTCACTAGAAACCTTGCTATTTCTTGGTGCAGTTTCAAGGATTAAGGCGCTATGGCTCCATACCTTTCTAAAGACATCGTACCCTCTTTCTTCTTTTGTCCCCAAAGAGATCTTTAAACACAGCACATTTGCTTTCACTCTCTTTAGATCCTCATGGCACGCCTGTAAAATACACAGGTCTAGCCCACTCCTCCAAACACAGAAATTAGTGCACAGAAAGGTGAAAGGTCACATACCTAGTATGTGATCACGTTTCATATGTCTTAAACCCATGTCTAGACGTCCAGACTCATTTTGCTATCCGGTGCCACTTTGCTTGTTTTTAGAATGAAAGGAATTTGGTGTGACATACTATGGGCTTTCTGCAACTCTTAACAACACAAGAAACCAAAGCCAGTCTTTTGGGTTGGTATGATTTGAAGAGTGCTGGGGAACAGTGTCCCTCCGTCTCATAGTAGCCAGAATAGAAGATATATGCCTGTGTGTGTAGGGGGATGGTAGGGAATAAGATGTGGAGGACTATAAACCGTTCGTTCATTCGTTCGTTCGTTCGTTCATTCATCTGTTTGTTTGTTTGTTTTCATGGCAGTGTTTTCTGTGTAACAGCCCTGGCTGTGCTGGACTAGCTCTGTAGATCAGATTGGCTTGGAACTCACAGAGATATTCCTGCCTCTCTCTCCCTAGAGCTGGGATTAACAGCATGAGTCACCACCACCTGGCAGTCATAAGCCATTAAGATTTATCATTACATAGAGGAGACTGCAGGACCTCTAAGACAACCAGCCATCTGTGAACTTACAATCAGATCCCACATTGAGAGGAGAGGGTTTGGGGTGGAGAACGGGGTACATAAGGCATGCATAATACCGAGCATCAAGTTTAGAGGAAAGAAAAGGCAGCTAAGAAGGACCCCACAGGAATTGTACTGGGGCTGAGATCCTGCCAGAATTTCTGGTTTACAATGCAGAAAGGAGATATGGGGACCAGAAAGAATGGGAAAGAAGAAATAGGGATAAATACAAGCAAGGTACAGTGATAAATTTTGTGTACTAACTAAAAAGCAATAAATCACATTCATATGAAATTAGAGCCACAAAGGGTAAAGCCCAGGGCTTTACAGAGGAAATAGCAGGCTAGATATTGGCAGAATAATGTCAATCACTTTTTTCACTAAGTTACTGGTTCAGTCTTGTCTTCTGTCTCAGCACTACTCCTCTGGTTATAAAACCACACACACTAACTAAGCAAACTGACCTCCTACTGCCTCATAGCAGATGGCCACCAATGGCTTTGCTCCCATGCTGTTTTCCCCAGGCACAACATGGTCTGTCTTCTCTCTCTTTCCAAATAGCTTATAGGAAATCCACAGGGGATGAGTTTGAGAAGTGTCTATGGATGCCCAAATCCACACATGGTCAAGTCCCTTATATAAACTGATGTGTGAGGTACATCCACACTATGCACATCCTCCCATACAGATGAATCATCTCTAGATTACTTATAATGTCCAAATGCAATGCAAACACTATGCAAACGCTGTGCTAATAATTCTTACATTCTACCGCTTAGGGAGTAGTTACATGCAAAAATACTTGTAGGTGTTCAAGACAGTCACAATATTTTCCCAAATATTTTTCCTTTAGAGTTAGGTGAACCCACAGAAGTGGACCCCATGAACACAGAGCACCAACTGTACTGTCTTCATAAGGTTCCTTTCCTCCTCATATTCATAGTTGACACCATCATGCATTCGTATGAACCTCCAGAAGTGGCTCTTTGGACATCTTTAAGAGAAGTGGTTCACAACCTATGGATCATAACCCTTTTGGAGGTCATATATCAGATATTTATAATACAATTCATAACAACGAGAGTATGGTTATGAAGTATTAAAAATAATTTTGTAGTTGGGGGTCGGCACAACCTGAGGAAGTATATTAAAGGGTCACAGCATTAGGAAGGGTGAGAACCACTGTCTAGACCATCAACATGAGGAACAGTATTAGAGGGTCACAGCATTAGGAAGGGTGAGAACCACTGTGTAGACCATCAACATGAGGAACTGTATTAATGGGTCGCAGCATTAGGAAGGGTGAGAACCACTGTCTAGACCATCAACATGAGGAAGTGTGTTAAAGGGTCACAGCATTAGGAAGGGTGAGAACCCTGTTCTAGAGGATGTTGCTCATCTCACCTTAGAATTCATGTCTGAGTCTTTTTCTTCCCTCCAAGATCATAGGCATTTTATGAAGAGAGCAGGTTCTCTTTCTGTCTATTCTGCTCTCCTCCTCAGTAATTTGTGGGCCCACAGTCATACAGATACTCTGGAGGCAAGTTCTAGAGTTCATTGTATTAATGACTTGAAAGTATACCTCTCCTCTTCTGAAAGCATCTACTGCACAAAACTGTGATTCTCTTTTAAATTTGATTTTCATTTACATATGCATTGGTGTTTGACCTGCATATCTTTGTGACAGAGTCAGATCCACTGGAACAGGAGTTGCAGACAGTTGTGAGCTGCCATGTGGTTGCTGGGAATTGGACCCGGGTGCTCTGGAAGAGCAGTCAATGCTCTTCACCAATGAGCCATTTCTCCAGCCCCAGAACTGTGATTCTTAGTAAGCCTATGTAAATTGCTTAGCAAAGTGCAAGATGCCTGGTACAGATTCCCCAGCCTCTCACTAGTGTATCACTTCACTCTTAATGAAATGTGCAGTCCTACCCGGCTCCCTTTAGCCATAATCCAACAGAGCTGTTATTCTAGAAGCAAAAGGAATCACATTAGGAGGTCTTGGGGCAAGACTTTGTTAAATGACCTGACTCCCACTGTATTTACAGTGGCATTTGCTCTTCAAAATTCAAGGAAAGACAGGAACTGGTTTCCACTTGAATTTCATATTTTCGTGGCCCGCACACTGAATGCTACCAAAGCCTCTGCTCCCCGAACAGCGGTTTGTGAAGATGGAATAGCGGCAGTTTTTCATTTTCCAGAGTCCACTCACCCTTCCAAGAATCTCAATGCCTCATTGATTCATAATACAGTGCATAAAGATTTCATTTTTCCTGCCCACAGTGATACATTATGGAGGCAATCTGTTTTGCCACTGAAAAGTTTGCTTAGTAGAAAAATTTGGAGTTTTGACATTCAGGAAATTACAGTCATCTGTAAAACACGATTGATATGCCAAGGCTAACATTTTCATTGCACTCTTGGAGCCAGAATAACTATGATAAACTATGTGTTACGCCACACACATTTCAGGATCTTTTAAGGAAACATTAGTTAGCACTGGGAACGTGCCTCCCTGGGCTCCAGGATTACAATGGCAATGCCATTCAGCTGTTCCCTTCCCACCAGCGCATCTCCATGTCCAAAGCAAGACTCAGGTGCTACAACAAAGCAATGACTTGACCCATGTTCCATCTTGGCCCTAGACTGAGCACTGGAACTGTCCGTTCCCATGCTGCCAAGGTAAAGCCATGAAAGGGAATTAAATGTGAGGATTCTACACACCCCTATTTTGGAATTGCCAACCAGTTGCAAAAAGTACAGGTCTAGGTTAGGCAGAACTGGAAGTCTAAGGCTTACAAGAGTGTATCTGTCTAAGACCCCAACTTGTGTGCGCATACTTTAACATGTTAGGTTTGCCTTGAACTTATGGTGATCCTCCTGCCTCAGCCTCCTGGAAGCTGAGACTACAGATTGTTTACCATCATGTCCAGTCCTTTTCTTTACCTCATTACAGGTGCAATTTCCTAAATGGTACCAAAAGCCTGCTGCTCTGGAGCTATTTGTTTAACATTTGGTTTAGAGGGATAAATGTTGTGGACATGGTAGAGGGATTTGGATGTGATACTTTGGCCTTTGGGGCCAGGTTGGGTGAGGTTATGAGCAGTTCGGGTGGGTTTTTTTTTGGTCCTTATGCACTGGGTCTCATTGGAAATACATATGCAAATTGTTTAAAATTGATCCCAATATAGCCTTTTCCAGTACTGGGATATGCATTGTCCACAAGTTATATGAATAGGTGTGACTCCTCATCAATCAAGGAGTTCTTAAAAGCCTCAAAGAAGTCTTACATGCATCTATACTCAATTGCCACAAATGCTCACTCACCTTTGCTGGTGTCTTAGACAATTCTAGGGAATTAGAATGTGTTCATTCAATTATGATGACAAGCTTACATGGTAGGGACTAGTATTGTCACCCTTTTAACAACAAAGAAACTGAGGCACAGAGGGGTGTACAACTTCCAAGTCACACAACTTGCTAGTAAGAGGTAGAGCAAGGGTGGTGACACACTTTAAGTTCATGATCTATATTGCCTGTCATAAGGAAAACATTTGAAGCCTCTACTAGGGGACAGGAAGATGATTTCATTAGTAAATTACTTACTGTGCAAAATCACTAGGATTCAAGTTAAATCCTCATCACCCACATACAATGCTAGGCATAGGGTAATCCCAGTGTTGGAGAGGGAGAAACAGGCAGATCTGTGTGCTTGCTGGTCAGTCAGACTAGCCTAATCAGTGAGTTCCAGACTTTAGTGAAAGACTGTGTCTAAAAACAAGGTTCATGACTCCAGAGGAATTATACCCAAGGTTGACCTCTGGCATTAACATGTGCATGCATCTGCATACATACAAACGTGGGTGCACGCATGCACACACACACACACACACACACATACACACACACACACACTCTGCTAGGCTTTGCTGTCCTGCAGAAGGTGCCTTCTCCAAGCCTCTTACAGGAGCAAAGATGACTGATCAGAGGAGAGGGCACAGAGACTGAGAAAGACGAGAGAAGAAGGAGGCCGAGAAGAAACGACAGTCCAAGTTGGTTTGGCTCTGCTCTTCCTAGAACATGCTGAGTAACACTGCATGGTTCTGAGCTCACACAGGGCTCTAACTGGGTGACCCAACACTGCAGTCTGGGAGACAATTCAGAACCTATTTCCCCAGTTTTGACACGCCTTATTTTGTTTTATCTAGAACTAAGCTACATACTCTTTACAGATCAGGAGCCAACCCTTAAGCAGGATTATTCCAGCCCTCAAATCCCTCCCTTCCCATTACAGGGACTCCTTAGAGCCCATAGGCAACTGACACCCAAAGCCTCTGCTAGTTAGTAGACTTCATTAGAAAGCAGATAAAACAACAGGATAGGGAGCAAGGACACTGTGTGGAGGGCATAGATGCTGGGGAAGACGGTTTTACAGGAACACTGAAGCAAGAATTGAACAAGTACCCTAAGTAAATCCCTCACTTAACCATCCCCCAGAGCTAAAAGGAGAGGGCCCCAGTAATACTGACTTTCACAAATCATTCTTCTTTGTTTATATGATATACATGGAGGCAACTTTCAGAGTTGGCTCTTAAATACTCCAAGGCATGAGTAAGAATGTCTTTGGTAGTCACCCCAAATCTTTCTTAGAAGTAGGCGGGAATAACAAAAGTAAATGTACAGGCAAAAATAGAAAGACGCTATCTTGACGATGTCTTACACATTGATTTAGAGGGCTTTATTACCCGGTGAGTCACACATTTAGTGAACAGCACATTTTGAAATTTAGACTCCATAAAAAGGACCAAATGGTTTGCTGCAAACTGCTCCCAACTGGGCTACCTTGTCTTCCGTCTCCAGGACTCCAGGAAAGCAAGGCCCTTGGCAGCCTCTGCAAATACCAGTCAGCAGGCTGCCCCAGAAGAACCTGCACTGTTCTTTCCAGCCCAGCCCCCCTTTAGAAAGCTCTTCAGCTCTATCGATTCAATCCCTTACCCACTTAGCAATTTTCTTCATTTCTGTCCCCAGACAGGTTTTCTCTCACCTCCCATATTGTTCTGTTTCTTCTATCATGGGGTGATCGATGACCCAATATGCATTTACATTTACAAAGCAATTGCATTTACATAAGGCAGTGCTTATCTAAAGCTAAAGGAGGCACAACTATAGCAGACATATACTAGGGAGGTACCTATTCATCACCCACATGTACAGTGTCTCGAACAAGATAGACTATTCCAGGAACTGGTATATGAGGGGAGAGAGTCCTGTAAAATTTATCACTAGAAGTAATCAATGAGTCACAACTAATAGACTCTATACCTCGAGGAAAAATATACAAAGGTATAGGGAAATATATTTTGCACTTAAATTTTGGCAAATTTAATTTGAGCACTCATTGATTGCACTTAATACAGATGATATAATCAGGAAGTCGGTAGCAATTGAAAACAGCAAGTCTAGCCTTCACTCACTGGGGCATTTTGGTAATATCTAATAATGGTAGGATATTCTCATTTAACTGAAATTGAAATTGCAACATACATTAGCTTATAAAAACTTAATCAATGTGATCAAATTAAAGCAGGCCACTGCCACGTCATCCTGATTAAAGCACTTGCAAACACCCCACACTGTTCAGAGATGTGTGGTATTCATGATTTAAACTCAGGTCTCTTCTCAAGGGAGCCAAACCAGGATTTTTTTTTACCAGACAATTAGAAATCTCCCTTCTTTATTTTGAACAATGTTGCAGTGCCATTATTGATGTTAATTCTCAGAGTACAGAATAGTAAGTAGCATGTGCTGGGGATTGTTTTCTCCTGACTGTCACTACCTTCCCCGTGGGATGATCGTTAATCTTACAGATGCAGCTCTGATGAGTGGTAATGAAGTTTAGCAATGGTAAAGTGAACATTTTTAAATAGATTTGGGGCAGGGGTGGGGGCAGGGGCGGGAAGTGCACTTCTCTGCCTTTTGTAAAGCGGCTCTGGGTTTCACTAGAAAGAATTTGCTTAAGGTCCCATTAACAAACAAACTGGTTTTCTGTCCTGAGTAGAAGAATATAGAATGAGACCACTTCTTTTAAATGTGCTCCTAATAGACCACCATGGACACTACGTGGGGGAGACATGAAAGATTTTTCCTTCTTTTGAAACACATCTCCCCAAGCTCACCAGCCTTAAACTGCAGCATCACCAAAGTACCTGGGAGGAATTGGTGTCTCTGATTCATTATTTCTTCAGATACTGGTGACGAGGGGCTATCTAGCTATTTGTACCTGAGTCAGCAAAGGCACCCACTCATTTAATAGCATAGAAATCACAGACCTAGAAAGGCTAAGTGATGTTTTCAAGGTGGTAGAGCTAGTCGGGGTCAGACTTAAGGACAGAAGTTCAGTCTTTATCTTTTCTTTTTTCTGTCCCAAACTACATCTAGCCTACTTTTAAGACGTATGCCAAGTTCTTGGACTCTGCCTTTAACCTCTCTGTCTGCCTCTGCCTCTTTCCTGCTCTCTTCAAGCCCCTAACTATATATCAAGAAAGTATTTTTTAGAGCACTCTTAGCAACAGTTTCCCAGGTTATAGTTCTTAAAAGACAGACAAAAGAGGAGGTTCAGATAGAGGGGCCAATTGGACCTGAGCATCCCTCTCTGATGTGAGCATGTGGTTAAGGATACTACTGAATTAGCTAATGGACATGTATACAGTGAAAACACTAAAGAGAGTTTTTAAAAATTGGAAGCAAAAATTATACAAAATTCCTGCAAGGATAAATGTTAGAAAAACCACAGTACTTCTAATGGCATTCAGGTTGGACCTTGACCTGTAAACATCTGCTGGGCCATTTTCTGGGACAGGATGGCTTTAGCAACTGAAAGAGCCCTGTCTCTAAGCCAATGTTCTTTTCTTCCCCTACAGGTTTCATTACACCCTCACACTGAGGCCAGTGGAAGGAAATGGAGTGGAAACAGTGTATGCTTCTTTAGTCTGGAGAACAGCAGCCAGTTGGGGAGCATTACTCAAAACCAAAGGCATTTTGTTCCTTCTAAGTATTTCAGATTCAGTTTGCATGTCAGCTGTAATCTTAAGTATCATCACCTATCCATCAGGTACCTTTCATTCAGGCAGAACAATCTGACCACGTGATGGGGGCTCTTTCTTTTTTGTCTTTTTAAAAAGAGCATGCAGAAGATAGGAAGGGGGATGCTTCCACTGTCTCTGGACAGCTGGGGCAAGGACAGCCCAGGCTGTAATCTTCACACTCTTCACCTTGGCTATTATCTGATTAGGTCTGCACCAGTACTTAGAAACTAGCTCTCAGCAGTTGGATTTTTCAAAGGAAATCCAGTTTGACCCTGATACACAAAACAGATGAGGAAGAGGCAGAGTGGGAGCCTGGGGCTTCAGGTACTTACTAATTCAGCTTGTCCATCACTCTTACCTTTGGCAGCCTCTCCATTCCTGACTCAGAACCAAATGACCAGAGAGAACACATATTGGAAACACTGGTACATACAAAGGAAGAATGCAATAAATACAGTGCCGTGAATCATCAGATCTAGGGTTTTGTATTTCTTTTCGTATTTTCAGTGGTTAGAAGCTAAACCTGGAACTGAGAAGGATGATGGTGATTAGCAGACACAGTAAGAGATATGTGGGGAGCAAGCAGAGGGTGAGAAGAAGTCCACTCTTTCCTTGCTCTTGCTCATAGTTAGTATAAAATGCAGTGCCCAAAAATGTATGAATGGCTAACACTGCCTCACATACTATACCAGATGTGTTCCTTAGCTGCTTTTCCCCCCACGATAGCATACCTGATATAAACAACTTAAAGGAAGGAGGTCTTCACGTGGACACAGTTTAAGAGGTTTCAGGTCATGTTTGAATAGCTTCGTTTCTGTGGATTGGCAAGACATAGACTCTAAGGGAGAATGGCATGGGGGTGGAGGAGTCTGCTCACCTCAGCCAGGAAGAGCATGGTGAAGGAACGGGGGAAGGAATGGAGGAAGAGGGAGAGAAAATACAATATATCTTCAAAAGCCATGCCCCTGTTGCCCCAGCTCCTAAAAGCACATCTGTTATATACTCACCATGAGAATACATAATAAATGTATTCTGTATCTGGGAACTAAGCCTGCAACATATTATCCTTTTTCAGTAAAGTTCATACCCAAAACACAATAAAGAAAACAAACATCCCTTCAAAACAGTCCGTTTCTTCTCCGCCATCAAATGGGGTTAGCTAGCCAAATAATCAGAAAACGAAATTCACAACCTTCAAATGTGTTTTCAAGGGTAAAGTCAACTACTGCTAATTATTCTTCAGATCATGTCTGCTTAAGGAAAACACTTGAAGAGTGAGAGTTTGGTGAAGCACTAGGCATATGATGACTAGCAAAGGATATGACAATCTGGGTGCGGGGAAGAACCATACAAACCAGGTCCAGTAAGAGCAAGACAGTGTGAAGGGAAAGGGTCTACGTTTGCCAGTTTATGTGAAAATGCGCTTCCCCCCCACCACAGTTCCTGACAATCACTTAACACAATGGACATGTAACTAGTAGCTGTTGGTTGGTCTTGGAGACATTTCACTGTTGGCTTTTCCATCCTCTTGATGATGCCAGGACACCAAGAACAATTCTCCATGTTTTGCAGAAGGAATGACAGTGATCCTGGGAGAGTGATGTGGGGATGCAGTGGCAGCAGACTAGCTTTCTGACAAAGTTCACAGCCTAACCAGTTGCCCTACTCCCTACTGTGAGGGCACAAAAGACTGTGGTCATCCCTGAAACATGCAAGAACAGGAACAATTGGGTGCATATGCCAATGCTTATAGAAAACATGCATTGAGGCTGTTGCTGCATGAAGGCTAGCCATGATGAGAAAGAGGCGTGTGGAAGCAAGCCCACCATTCCCAGTTCTTCAGTTGAAGTTATGATGCCTGAAAAAAACAGACTAAAAGACTGGGAGAATCACTGATCTGACTAAACTCAACAATCCAGCCACATTAAAAGCCATGTCTAGGGACTTGAGAGATGGCTCAGTAGTTACAAGCATTTGGTGCTCTTCCAGAGAACCCAGGTTCAGCTCTCAGCATCACCATATCATCTGACAAGCATCTATAACTCCAGTCCCCCAAGGGGTCAGATGTGACCGTCTGACTTCTGCAGGCACAGGCAAATACATGGTGTACAGACATACATGCAGGCAAAACAGTGATACACATAAAATAAAATAAATGAATCTTCAAAGAGACTGGTGTGTAGAAGATACCTAGCTGCTCACTCCCAAGTCCCTTCAGAAATTTGTATGGTCCAATGACATAGAAACATTCGAGGAGTTTTCCTTGCATTAATGTCATGTGGTACTCTCCAGGATTAAGTAAGAATATTCATGTATTTAAAGAATCTAGAACAAGGGTAGTACAAAGAAAGTACCCAGTAAATGTCACCACTTATTTCTGAAAAAGCTCCTACGCCTTATATATATCTATCAGTCTTTACTACCTGTGTTGGAAATGAATTCTGTACATTTTCTACCCGAGTGTAAGTGGATAAAGTGTTGTGTGGCTTTGGGCAAAATGCATTGTTTCTGTCAGTTTAGTTTTCTCATCATCTTCCTCATGGAATTGCTGGTATAATTAAGGTAAAAGATTCAAAGTCTCTATAAAATTTTGTGAAAAACTAGGTGTGTTTGTAGTTTTTAGTAATTTCGGGCTTACGCAAATTCAGCTCTTTGCCTCCTCATGTCCCTTATACTGGGAGTTTTTTGTTTTTGTTTTTGTTTTTTACTTTAATTTTAAATAGCTTGCTTCACATGTCAATCCCAGTTCCCTCTCCCTCCCCTCCTCCCGCACCCCCTCATTATCCCCCCCCCAGCCTCCCACACTATGGCCACTTCCTTTCACATAGGGGATATCTAGAGTCTGTCATTTCACTCAGGGCAGGGCCCAGGCACTCCCCTAAGAGTTCAGGCTGAGAGAGCAACCCTCTTTGTGTTATGGACATGAAGTCTGTTTGTATTCCAGGGATAAACACTGATCCATTGTCCAGGGCCCCATAGGTTGCCCAGGCCTCGGAGCTTTGAAGGCAGTGATGGTGTAAGGAAAGACATGGTGGCATGAGCATGAGGGTTGTCTGCAGTTGAGCTGTAGAGAGATGGATGCTGGTGCTCAGCTCACTTTCTCTGTCTTTCCCTTTTTATTCAGTCTGGGCTTTCAGTCCACGGCAATGTGCTAATAGTTCTTATTCTAATGGTCAAACAAGGGAGAATGTGAAGAATTTTGCATACTGCCTGACTCAGAAAACACTCAATAAGTGATACATAACAAAGCACTGATGTACTTTATGATATGTGAGATTACCTTGCAAATCCTTTTATGTGTATATGGTAGTTAGCTTTAATTGTTAACTTGGCACAACCTAGAGTCATCTAGGAAGAAAATCTCAGTGAGGGACTGTCTACATTTGGTTGCCCTGTAGACATGTCTGTGGGGGAATTGAATTACTAAGTTAACTGATGTGGGAAGACTCAGCCCAGCTTCAACAGTACTGAACTGCATGGGTGAAGAAATCTAGCTGTGTGCAAGCAAGCGGGCATACATATTCATTTCTCTGTGCTCTTCACTGTGTATTCGATGTGTCCAGTTTCATGAAGTTCCTGCCTTAACTTCGAGATCATTATGGACTGTAATCTGAAATTGTAAACAGAAAGAAACCCCTTTCTCTTCTAAGTTGCTTTGTGTCCAGGTATTTTGTCACAGGAACAGAAATGAAACTAGAACAATGTACTAATTCATTAAATAATTCATACCTTTCCATTTTTTGGTGAGGTTTCCCACAATCACTTCATCTAAATCTACAAATTTTTGCCCTGCCCATTCCTTATGTCTATCATTTACTTTTTTACTCCTTTTTGAAATATTACATATTCATTTTTGTCTTTACTTTTGACTTTCCTTTGCTTCCTTCCTTCCTTCCTTCCTTCTTTTGTGATACAGGGTCTTACTATGTAGCACAAACCAGCTTTGGACTTGGACTTCCCCTATCTCAGTTTCCTAAAAGCTGGGATTACAGGCATGTGCAATCATGTCTATGTACAATTATTTGTTTAATGACCACATAATTCTTCTATAATGGGCAAAATGACAAAGAAAGAATATTGTTGAGTGCATTCTTTTCTGAATCTGCAGAATGGTACTCAACACCTGCGAGTATGCACTCAGTAAAAACTTTGAAAACCTTATACAGTAAGAAGGTGCTACTAGTATCTGATATCATTAAAATATAAAATAGTTCCCATAGGTTCATGTGTTTGAATACTTAGTCTCTGGCTAATGTCAATGTCTTTGGGGAAAGTAGGTCACTGGGAGCAAGCCTTAAGATTTTAGAGGCCAGTCCTACTTCTTATCCACTCTCTGCTTCCTAACTGGTGACTGAATGTATCCAGTCACCTCATGCTCAAACCATGCATTCCTTAACATGATGAACTGTATCCTTTGAACTGTAAGCTAAAATGGACTCTTTTCTCCCTGAGCTGCTTCCTGTCTGGTGTTTGGTCACAGCAATAAGAAAAGTGATTTGTGAAGTGTTTTCATTTTTACACGTGAAGAATGTAATACATAGAAGTACTCTTCACGGGGTAGTGCTCCAACCTTTGAAGTAGCCATCAAGTTTTAGTATTTGCCATTTTAATCCAATATACAGGGAGCAGAAGCATCTTGCCTCCTTGAGTTTATGTGGTAAGTGTTTGTGTTGGCTGGCAGACAAAAACGTAGGTTCTTCTTTCCAGGACCCAAAGAGCAGAACACACTTTCCCACCAAGAGGCACCATCAAGACCAGTACTGACAGGCACTTGCTGAAAGGGGCACTTCCTATCTAGTGTGTATATTGTGTCTCACGGAGGGGTGTGGGAATCTGCTAGCAAAGTTCTTCTTCCTGGATGTGCTGCTCATTATTTGTATATGTATATGTATTTGTATAATCTGTAGTATTTGTATATGCAAGTGGTTAGGTTACTATTGCCCCATTTCAAGAGCTGGCAAAGTAGAAAAATAAACAAGATGAGCCAACCAGAGCTCATCAAAATCCTACTGGCCAGAATCCTATTGGGCAGGTCACATTGTCCCCAGCTGCAATACACTGGCAAACAAAATAAACATAATCACTACTTGACATTTAGTGAACACTCGCCAGGCACTCTGAGAGCTCCACTCGGATTAGGATGTTTAATCCTCACAATGGCCCAATGAGGTACATATAAAGTTATGGGGCATGAGAGCCAGCATCCAAATCCAGGTCTGTCTGACTCCAGGGATGATATCTTTTCATGAATACACAAGGCTGCCCGATTAATTTATTTGAAGAAGTATTTGAACAGGCGTGTGCTGCAGCTGCTTAGCCTGAGGTTAAACATCAAAGTACCAAAGTATGGTAAGCCTAAGTTATTTGTCCCTGGCTACTGTAAATCTTTTCTCAAATGGTTTATTCCAGATTCCTGACTTATTAATGAATGTGTTTTCTGGGGTATATCTGAAATTTTTGTTTTAACCAAGA